CACCACAAATTTAAATGTTAAATCAGCATCAGTTATCTTACGCATCTGCAGTCTGAGGCTGATGATGGCCTGATGAGAGGAGACCCTCCCTCCTTCTCTCCAAAAGCATTTGTTTGTTTGTTTGCAGTATTTCTTAGGTGTTGAGCATACAAAAAAGAACAAAATACAATCTTTTCTGTAGGGAAATTACAATTTGGTACCACTTTACACAACCAACTATAAAACAATGTGAACAGGTGAAAACAAAGTACTACGAGATGATGGAGGAAACAGAATTTCCAGGGTCTCTGGGCACAGTATAGTGGGGAAAAGTCTTCCAAAGGACCAACTTCTCACTTTGACTTGGAGAACTGGAGAAGCCAAGGAAAGAACCTCTGCTCCTTCGCAGAGGGAACAGCAGGTGCAAAGCACCCAAGGGCACAGCAGGTCCAGGGAAATGCAAGGAGCACCCAGACACGCTGCCTTCTGGCCTCATGTTCCCGAGGGCACATTCCCTGTCACTGCACACCCTGGAAAGAGACCAGACGCCTGGGGGTGTGGCGATCAATCTGGACCAATTTGGGAGAAGGGCAGGCAAAGCTCTCTAGAACAAGGAATGCCAGTTTTGTTCAAGCACAAAGAAGAATGCATTACAAGCACATTCAAATAAATGCGTGCACTGTGAATGGTGCTAAATTTGAAATTCTTGGACCAAGGATTTTCTTCATGTTCCGGATTATTCAGGTTAATGTGATGAAAAGATTCAACCAACAATAGTTGTTTGCAAATCGGACATGAGCTGTTCTTTCATTCTTCAGTTATTTATTGGGTGTCTGCAGTGGGCACCTATCAGTGTTCAAAGCCTTGGGAGCAAAAAAAGTTCTTATACTGGGACATATTCTAGCGGCTTGCATTCATATAAAGTATATCTTTCTGGATTAAAAAAGTGTTGCTGGAAATCAGCTTAAAAACTCATCAAGGTTAATTTAAGTGACTCAGCAACAATATTGAAGGTTTTTATGCAAATGTAATGACATAATTTTAAAAGTTATTAGAAGAAAATGGTCTCATTGCCCTTAGTAATATTAGTATTAGAATGGAGGGTTTCTTTGATAAAACTGAGGGTCTAGTGCCACCTTGTGGCACCACTCAATTATGTGCTGTAACGTTTATGGCGTTAGTCTCCTAATGCAGCTGTCCCAAATTCTAACAGACTTGGTGAAAACCACACAGATTTATTATCTCATCATCCTGAGGGTCATAATCTCCTAGTGGATCTCAAGGACTAAAATCAAGCTTTCAGCAGCGCTGAGCTCCTTCCAGGCCCTAGTGAAGAGGGCCTTGCATTTTCCTTTAAAGGCTGCCTGACAACTATAAATCAGAGACATTCGGCAGGGGAAGAAAAAGGAGAAGGGTTAAAATGGGGGCAGAAAGAGCTCAGGAGACTATATGATGGCTCACAGGTGACTTTGTGGTGGGAATTTTGTGGGGACTACACCTAAGAGAAATCAGACATTACACAAAATGAGCAACAATATAAAGACACACGCACATGCACAAATATATATTAAAAAAAAAATAAAGGTTGACTGAGTTCCTTAGATGGTGGCCCCCTACCATCCCGGAGCCAGGAAAGACCAGTAAAGTCTTCCCACATCTTGTCTCTCCTCTTTCACTTATAAAAAGACCCTTCTGGGATTACAACTGAGATGGAAAAAGGCACAAAGTGATGTAAAAATAAACTATTATATTATTAAAAAAAAAAAAAGACCCGTGTGATTATATCAGACCCACCTAGAATATGGGAGAATGCGTGTTTAGAAATCCCCCCAGTTAATTTATTTATGTTTTATTAATTTTAGCTAGAAAAACCCAAACTAAAATCATGCTAATCTTAACATTATACTGACTTGTCAGAGGCAGTGTACCAGTGGTGCCTGTTTTTGTTTCTAGAACAAATGGTTTCATTAACAAATGAGTCAGAATTAAATTTACAAAAACTCTGAACTGAAAATCTCTGAAGGGATTAAAGGAGAGAGGAAGAAAATAGATGATTTGGATTCTTTACTTGTACCTGCCTGTTAGAGAAGCAGTTGAGCACCTATGTTTTTGTTTTTGTGGGTCACAGACTGGCAAGGACAATCATATCAGCTCTGCATTCAATAGATATTAACAGGCTGTCCCTTGCAGTGGCTTTCTCAGTGAGGGTGATAAATGTGGTCCACTCTCTTCACTTTTAAGAAGTATCTACTAATCAAACATCAAAGGGAAATCAGCTGAGATGAAATGCAAAGTTCTTCAGAGAACTACAATGCATAAGAACTAAACTGATCCTAAAATGGAAATGCCCTTTTATTTTACCTGAGTTAAAATAATGAAGTTACACCAGAGTTCATGGATATCATAATTAATGACTTTGAAACCAGATTCCTAAGATGGATGCCAACACACTGTAATCACAATTCATTAGTGCTAGCACATGGTTTTAAATCTTAAATTCTCAACACACACCTTTTTACTTTTTAGCACATTAAATAATTTACTCAAGTACCATGTTTACAGAACTCTATTAGAAACCTTTCAAATACTTAAAAATAATAGCACTATTCTGCAATTCTCATCTTACAGAGAAATAAATTTTGGCACGTAATGTTCTTTCAAAATGGAAAGCTGATGAGTTTGTTTTGCTGTTCACACAAAAAATAAACATCCATGCTATCAGCTTGGGGAAACCAACTTGGTAACAAGAGAAGCTTGCTGGAACAAGAATTTCTGAGAACACGGGATCTGAGTGGAAAAGGGAACGTGTCCTCCAGGACTGGCCATCAGGTTAGCTGACACACCATCAGGTACATGCAATAAAGGCCTGACAGTTACATGCAAGAATGGAAATGACTGCTGCGTTCAGACTGGGAAATGATGGGGATTTTTCCCCTCGTATTTCTTTTTTTAACTTTCAAAGTAAAAGAAATCAAGTTGGTAGTTAAAAATGACTACTAACATAAGGGATACCAAGTACCCACTTCTCTCAAGTAGAAGATTTTGGCAACTGAGTAAACAAAAAATTCCATGATGAAGACAGGATCTCTTATTTGGAGAAGGCTGGTGAAAAAAGTCACCAACTCAGAATGCCAACCATCTTGGGAAGGTCCATTTCCTGCAACATCTTCATCAGTGGGCACGAACATTTATCTTTTTGGTAGCAGCCTTATTTTCCTCTAGATCAGCGTGTTCGGAGTAGTTCAAGCATACCTAGGACAAGTTTGTGGTTTTCCTTTTGACCATAACATGTCTCACCTCCATACGCTGCTTCTCAGGAGCCCTGCCTATTCTGTCCACTGCTGTTCACCTACCATTTACTGATGCCTGGCAGAAGTGCTAAAAATGGTCAGCTGGGCGAGTGAATAACTCAATGAATCTCAAATATTTCAACTGGCCAAGGGCAGAAATGGGAAAAAAAACCCAACACACCAAACTCCCAAAGAGGACAATGACAGAAAGGCAGGAAGAGCAGCAACGCGCGTCAAGTGGGAGCGGAGTTGCTGCCAAAACAGTTGCTGCCATTCAGCGTGGCCTTTGCTTGGCGACTGAAAATACCCAAGAGGTTTTAACTGAAAGTTACTATTAAAGCGAAGTGTTCTCTGGAAGACTCATTTACAGTTAAGTCAGTGACAACTGTTACTACATCCAGATGGAATCGGGGCCTTGTGTTCTGTTGTTTCAAGATGGAGAAGACTCTGCTGAATAGACCAGGTGAATGTCTAGAGTCCCGTAGAGAGAGCGCAGGACACCGAGGACTTTTTCTTGGATGGTGTCAACTTGCTCACTAGGACAGTAATCATCCAGACTTGACCTGCAGTCAAAGGAGGAAACAGAAGTAGGCTGAGATCATACTGAGCAGTAGGGAAAAGTCCGCACATGCTGATTTTAATGTAAAATAGCAATGCAGGTGTACCGAATTTTGATGCCACAGTTGAAAGTTACTGAAGTTTACCTTGTGCCACTTGTAGTCCATGAATTATGCTCTATAATCTTCTGAAATAGGTATATTTTCCACCCTTTGAAGAAATGTGCAGCAAAGAAAGCTTAACCTGACCGGGTTCCATAACCAGTAGTGCACTGGTGAGCGCTGAAACAACAGGGCGCAGCTTCAAATATTAGTGCTGGGGAACAGTGCAGCTTATTTAGTGCCATCTTTCTTGTTCTTTCACTGTGTTCACGCCTAGAAATGGTGAAGGAGAGGTTCTCCAACTGAAGAGTGTCTGCATTAAACCTGAGTTATTATCCATACAGGACAGGCGAAAATGAAATGAGGCATGTGCCAGAGCTGGGTTAGTTCCTGGGTAGTTGTAAGCAGAATAGGAACAGGAGAGGGAGCAGGAATCTTTATTTTTGGAGACTGGTATCTGAAGTCTGACAGAAAATGTCTGATATGCAGGCTAGTTGTGTAAGGAGAATATGTTTTGCCTACTTTCCAAAGCCTACAGAGCGTTCACGTTCAGTGAAAAGCCTTTACTTTTTAAGCCAGAATTTAGCACTCTTTTACAGATATACAGAGTACTTTTGAAAATGGGTAAAAATAATCTAAATTTTCTAAGAATACAACTATTCTGTGAGAAAACCTGGACTTTAAGTTCAGAACTTTACCACGAGGCAGTAAAAACCACGTCACAACAGCAGAGCTCCTGATGGTCACTGGCCACTGCCCCAGTATCCAGCTGCACTGAGTGACACTTGTGAGATGCAAGACGAGTGTGGCATTTATTACATGTTTTTCTATAATTATTTTCATTTAAAATGTGTAGATTATTGCTATAGATTAAAAGCTTGTGTCTTCCCAGAATTCATGCTGACACCTAATCTTCAAAGTCAGTATTTAGGGGTGGAGTCTTTGGAGGTAGCGAGGCTATGAGAAAGGATTCCTCAAGAATGAGCTAAGTCCCTTTGTGAAAGAGGCCCCAGAGCAGGCCCGCCCTGTGGCGCAACAGGAACAGGTTAAGCCAAAGCACTATGAAGCTCTCCACAGTCACTGAAGCACAAGTTCGATCCCCAGCCAGGAAGCTGACCCACATGGCGCAGCAGACCTCTCCTGTCTCACCTGTTGCTCCCCTCAGCAGTGGATTTCAGTCGACCTGCCTGTTCTGCTCCCTACTCTGTCTCTGGTGGAACTTCAACCCCTGTACCTTTGGCCCAGCTCTTGTATACATAAATAAATAAGTCTTTAAAAAAAAAGGCCCAGAGAACTCTCTGAATCCTTCTTGCAGGTGAGGTTATAGAGAGATGACTATGAATCACTTACCAGATACTGAATTTACTGGAATCTTCACCTCAAACTTCCCAACCTCCAGGACTTTAGGAAATGCATTTCTGTTGTTTATAGATCATTCAGTCTACAGTATTTTTGTTGCTGCAGCCTGAGCAGACTTAAAAGTTACATTACCTATATATATTTATTTATATATATTTACCCATATATCTTTAAGGCATATGTTTTTGTTGGTTAGATTTTCTATAAATTTTATTCCAGGATGCTAAGAATGTTATAAAATATTTGATGTAAGATGGCACATAAATATTCTAATCATGAGTTTCATTACTTAAACTATTTATTTCAGAATCTCACAGTTCCACATAAAACCAACCCAAAAATTAAGATAGGAAAAAACTGTTACTAAGTCGTGGAAATATTCAGCACATTAGTATGCTCGAATTAAAAACATGGTCCTAGCTGAATATTCATCTGTAGGATGTGAAGTGGGAATTCTGTGTTTACTGGAATAATGATACCAATGTCAAAGGTAACAAGAACTGAGTATTACTTACTGACCCATCACTAACAGGAAATAAAATAGATCTGAAAAAGCTGGTAAAGATTACTGGGCTCATCTACAGAAAGTACATGAACTTCCCATTGCTACTGTAACAAAAATACTACTAAGTACTTGGCTCAAGGCAACACAACTTTACTAGCTGACAGTTTTGTAGAGGCTAGAAATAAATGTGGTAGGCCGCTTCCCCTCCAGGTTTTAGGGGGACTGTGTCCTTGCTTTTTGCTGTGGCCTCTGCCCCACCTTCAAAGGCAGTAGCCCAGCAGTTTCTGATTTCTGATTCTGCCCCTCTTGCCCTCTTCTTCTAAGAAGTTTTGTGATACACTGGCCCCACCTGGGTGACGCAGCATCATCTCAACATCCATCCTGGAGTTGAGAACAAAGTCCTCTATGACACGACATAGGAGATCTGCAGATTCTGCAGATTATGATCTGGGCATTTTTGGTGCATTATTAATTTAAGTGACTACACTTACCTTGCAATTGTCACAAGAGCAGGTTTTGGTAAATTTTTAAGTAAATAATACACAGACTGAATAAGACACTCAATTTCTTGTTCTGTGCTGACATGGTGAGGAAGTTCTGAATAATCACAGGTTAGGCCAGCTTGGTGAACCTGAAAAGACAATTAAAAACTGTATTGAAAGGCTTTGTTATTTTCAGAAGGTTCTAGCCACTAGTGGTCTTGCTAACAAATCTTACATTATTTTTTGCGGATTGGTATTCTTTTTCCTTTACATTTCTGGGCCTTAGAAGTTACCTATTCTATTAAGTTTTGGTAAAACTGTACACCTGTTTGGTGGGTCCTCCCTGGTGATGCAAAGGGTTAAAGTATAACACTAGGAAGTTAGCCACAGCTACTTTAGCACAAGTTCAATCCTCACCCAGGGAGGTGACCTACCTCCCTTTCTTGGCCCACCTATTGCTCCCCTTAACATTCTACTTTGTCGATCTGTCTGTTCTGCCCCCCCCCCCACTGTCTCTGATGAATCTTCTCACTGCCCCTGCACCTCTGGCCTGTACCCCAGTTCTGTATGCATAAATAAATCTTTAAAAACAAAGCAAAACAAAACATACACACCTGTTTGGGCCTGATGTTGTCCTAGGAGTATTTCTTTAACTACTTCATGTTATGATAATGGGTCTACTTAGATTTTGCCTTTCCTTGAATAAATACTAATTTAAATCTCCCAGTTAATTATTCATTCACCTAGATTTTAAACACTGATATAAAGCTCTAATATAATATTCTCACCTCACCTTCTAGCACAGTATTGTATTATTATTTTAAAAAGATTTATTTATTTATACATACAGAACTGGGGTACAGGCCAGAGGTGCAGGGGTGTTGAGAGGATTCACCAGATAGTGGGGGAGCAGAATAGGCAGACTGTCGAAGTACACAGCTGAGGGGAGCAGTCTGCCGCACCATGTGGGTCACCTCTGGGGCTGGGATCGAACTCATACTGAAGTGGCTTTAGCTTCCTAGTGCTGTGCTTTAATCCACTGTGCCACCAGCGAGGGCCCCTGTTGTATTTATTTCTAAAATACATGCACCTAGTATTACATTCAAAATTTTGAGAAAATACAAGTCAAATAGTCTTCATTTCTATCTTATTTAGCACTGTTAGCCATTGGTATTTATAAATATACGTTTTAAATGTAAATGACCGGTGTTCTAATTTTAGCATTAAATAAATATTCTCAAAGCTAGAAATGGCTCACAGGCTAACATTTTCAATCTCTGCTTTAAAAGGCATAAGACTGAAAGTCAAATGTGCCATGGTTATGCTTGGTGTATGTAAATACAAACCATGGGAAAAAACACTAACCTGTATTTTATTTGAGGTTCTGGATATATATAAAAGACCTAAATGGTAATGACCAATCAGTGTAGTAAAATGAGATTCTACGTATTTGCTTCTACTGAAATGAACAAAACACTAAGTGCTCGATCTCCACAGTTCCTGGCATGTCACATCTGATGACATGATTTGAAACAGCCCCTGTTGTCTCTCCTTTCAATAATACACCACCATCACCCCAAACTCCAGACAGACTGTAAGGATTAAAGATTAGCAGCATGAAAACACATTTAATGATCGCATTCTCATGCTGTAAGTGTCTTCTAGTGTTAATATTAATAATCCCCGTTAAAAACACAGGCTGGATCTTGAATTAGTTCCAATTTAATAAAAATACTTTTTTATTAATTTTCTTAGTCTTACTGACATAAAGATTATATTAGAGCAATATATGCCTTCAGTTTAAATAAGGTGATGTGATTCTATTCTGCAGTTAAATAAAACACAAACTAAAAGGAAAACATAGAATAGATCAAGTAACACGTGTTACTGAAGCACCAGATGGCATAAGACCTGGAGGTCTTATCTCTGGCACAAAATCTGAGAGAAGACCTATGAAGACATATGCTTCAAAGACTAGAAAATGCTATAAAAATAAATCACCATCAAAGATATCCTCTTTTGCCACAGTATTCCTATCAGTGTTGGCAACAATGCCAGTCACACATCTAACTTACCACACTGCTCTCTTTTGCCTTTCTCTTTATTCTTCACAATTACAAAAGGATTCAGAGAGAAAGAAAATGGAAGGAGGTGGTATAAATATGAGTGAATAATGAATGACTTTAGAAACTGTATGCTTTCTTTTCTCTGGTTTGAAGAGATCTGCTCAAGGATGAAGTTAAGAAAAAAAAAAGCATGTTTGCTTCAAACATAAAATTGTGAAAGGAAAGCTTTGAGGTGTGGCTTCTAAAAAGTATTTTTTTCATTTATTTCTTCTTTTTAAAAATAATTTATTCAGATATCCTAGTTACACAGAGAAAAGTGAAATTACTTTTAACGTAGCTAGAAAAATGTCTTTCTAAAGGGTCAACTCTAATTCGATATAAAATATTTACCATTTCATAGTCTGGTACTTCCATCCGTTTTTTCAAACTCTGTACAAGTGGAATTAGAGATCCCATCCTAGAAAAAAGCCACACCTCAATTAAAATCATTTGCAGGGGTAAATGATACAGTGCACTTTAAACTTATCAATAGAATAATTCATGTGATGCTTAGGAAATGAAAGATAAAACTGCTCAAATGACATATCAAAATAGTAACAAGTAAATGTTCCCTGCTGTTTTCTTACCTAAAAGGTTATAGATTATGTTAAAGGTTGAATATTAGCCTTAGCCTTTAAAGACATTTTCTTCTTTATTTCCTTCTTTTTTTTTTTTTTTTTAAAGATTCATTTATTTATGCATATAGAACTGGGGTACAATCGAGGTGCAAGGGCAGTGAGAGGATTCACCAGAGACAGAGTGGGGAGCAGAACAGGCAGATCAATGAAGTACACCGCTGAGGGGAACAGCAGGAGGGTCAGCCACTGAAGTGGCTGTGGCTGGCTTGCAGTGCTGTGTTCTAAACTTTTGCACCACCAGGGAGGGCCAATTTTTTTTCTTTAAAAGTAAAAGCTCTATTGTAACTTTAAAAATTACTCTGGTCGGCCCTCCCTGGTGGTGCAGTGGGTTAAAGCACAGCACTGAGAAGCTAAAGCCACTTCCGCATGAGTTCGATTCCCGCCTGTCCCGGAGGTGACCACATGGCGTGGCAGACCTCTCCTGACCCGCCCGCTGCTCCCCTCAGCAATGTATTTCGTCGATCTGCCTGTTTTGCTCCCCACTCTGTCTCTGGTGAAGCCTCTCACCGCCCCCGAGCCTCTGGCCTGTACCCCAGTTCTGTATGCACAAATAAATAACTCTTAAAAAAAATTACTCTGGTCAGCAAGAAAACTAAGCCTTCAAAAAGTAATAGTTTCCTGAAAGTTAAAACTTCAGCCCTCGTTAGGATTATGTGCAATTATAGCCAGAAAAATTCTACATCACTTAATAACATTGGTGCTTTCAAGTTAAATTTAGGGAGCACTGCTCTGGAAGCCCTGATTAAGGAATGCTTTCAGTATATCAATGTTTCCTCCACCAGTACTTGCCCTTTGCAGAAAGAAAAAAGAACAAGGAGGCAGGGAAGCTGTCTACAATCCATCCTGTGGGCTTCTATGGTCTAAACACCTGCCTCCTCTATTTCTTAGGAATAGTGAAGGCACCTTGTGCTGAGGGTCTGACCCCTCAGGGGCATGGTTATTTTGGGAAGAGTTTTCTAGCTCTCTCACCCAGTCCCTTTGCTCCCCCCTTAGCCCCACCACTGCTGCAGCACTGCTGTGATGGAACTCCCTGCTGCGATGAAGAGCTAACTGGGCATGCCAGCATGCACCTGGCCTTGGTGGAAGGCCGCCCTACTGTGTGCTTTCTCCAGGATATTTTAGGGATTTTTTAAAAAAGATTTTATTTATTTATGCATACAGAACTGGGGTACAGGCTAGAGGTGCAGGGGTGGTTAAGAGGATTCACCAGAGACAGAGCAGAACAACGAAGTACACTGTTGAGGGGAGCAGTGGGTGAGAAAGGAGAGGTCTGCCGCACCATGTGGGTCACCTCTGGGGCTGGGGATTAAACTCACACTGAAGCTCTTGTGGCTGGCTCGCAGTGCTGTGTCCTAACAGGCTGCGCCACCAGGGAGGGCCTAGATATTTTAAATTTTAAACTTGGCTTAAGACTTCACAAATCACAAAATAGTAAGTACACTTTAATATTTTTAGGTAGACTCACATCCTCTGATGTAGTGTAGATTTCCCTCTTCCATCAAAATCACACAAAAAGAATCATTTTAAAAACTACTTCCTTATATTTAAGAGAAAAAATATTGACAAATTTTAAAGTGCCATAATATGTTTAATACTATTATGGATTGTTCTCCCATACCTCTGCTTTTCCTAGTGATAATAATTAATGTTTATACTTCAAGGATATTTCTGAGTATTTTAAATAAAAATTGCATCGCATATTTTGAATAATAATACCCACATATAGCAAAGAGGTATTTCTCTCTTATAGATTTTATTCCTTTGCCGTAAAATTCCCCAGAGCGATTAATATTCTAGTTTTTTCTGTATTCTTCCAGAGATTGATGAATTATTTTCAATGACTATGATACAGGAAATTATTGTGGCTAAAAGTACTATGACTCTAACTTCCTCATGTTATGCTGTGGTTTCATAATTAACCTCTAGTGTTTATACTCTGGAGAAAAATCTCAGTTTCTGGGAGGTCCATTTTTAAATAAGCTGGTGCTGGTCTTCCCCTGCTGATAAGGCCTAAAAGCTTGTCTGATGGTCTGATTTTAGTTTTTCTGACCTTTTGAAGTTTACATGATTTGAAGAAATATTTCAGAATATTTAGAATAACTTTCTGACTTACGTCAATGTTCTTTCAAACCAACTTTCATCCTCCCCCGCACTCCCCATCGCCGCCCCCACCCCTACTATTAGGTGCTCGCTCCAAAAGATCTTTTCATCTTCTCAAGGTAAATGTTAACGTTAAGAGCACTGGCTCAATGCCCTGAAGAAGTTTCCAGTTATTCAATCTTGCTTCCATATGCCATGGACAGTTTGAAAATAAACTTGTCTAAGTGCAGTGGAGTAGAATAAAAGTAGGGTCGTGGTTTTGCTTAATATTGGCTGGGTGTGGGTACTTTTCTAATTATCTTGACAATAAATGACAGTGAATGACAGGATGCTACCTGAGGAGCTACTGTATGTAGCGGGGGCAGCTATCGCCTAATGACTAAAAGCACACCCGCTTACTGATTTGTAGGAGCTTACTTACCTACTCAACCTTGCCTACAAAAGGGCAACATAATACAAAAGCCATACGACTGCTGTAAGGAGATGATGCAGGGAAAATCTCAGAATTATATTGGTCGTGTAGAAAACACTCGACAAATGTTAATTATTGTTAGTAAATGTGTTGAAATTTAATATTAACTTCAAAAACCAATTTGCCTACCAAACGTGGCAAGAGATATATAACTAAGCATATGGAAAATAATTTGGGGTGTTACCCAGGATTTGAAGCCCATTTCTGTACAGTTTCTTCATCATCACCATCACACAAGTCAGCGAAAGTAGCTTCTAAGTCTTCTAACTGGTGAGTCCGAGTATCAACACAATCTACCAAATCTTCCTATTAAAGACATTGAAAACCTGAGATTATATTCTTTCAAAAACACAATTGAAATTCTCATTCTAATGAAAACATCCCAGCTCAAGTAGTTCATGTAGCCAGAATGTCTACATGTTCCCAATAAACATACAAGAGTTGGCGATCCAAACTCTATCCTTTGAGAGCACCCTATTACTAGATATGTAACAAGAGATAAAGCCCAACCGAAACCAGTGGAGGGTACCTCTGTCAGGCTGCCATCAGGCTGCTTAAAGTGATACAGCTCTTGCAGGATTTTGTACTCCTCCTGAAAAGCAGAAGCAAGCAAAGCAATGAATATCCTTTAAGCGAAACATGATTGTGCGACAAGAAGAACATCTCAGATAATCTTTTAACGGTTTGTGTGGGAGGATGAAGCAAAGTGCATGATTTAGATTTCACTGTAACTATTACCATTCTTCAGGGTAATTCTATACATGTGGGTGTAACAAGAACATATGTAAATTAGCTGTGAAAAAAGACTCAGTGGTATGAGTCTGTGATGAAAATATTTCTAATAACATTACATTCTAAATGGCTATAACCTAAGATCTAAGCAGATGTTAGCTTTTCATAGGAAATACAACAGCTTCACAAACAACAGCAAAACTATCTACATTCCCCTCGCAGCCCTCTCCCTAGGCACAGAGGAGAACTCCAGAGTACAAATGCATCAGCGGGGGCAGATACAGCTGAAAGGAGGGCACCCGCTCCACTGACTTTGCAGGAGAACGGCCCCTCACGCAGCACCGCTAACTAGTCGCTCTGTGGGCTCTGTCACACAATAATCCTCTTCAGGAGTAGAATGTCAGAAAGAGGTTATACACAGAACTAAAATTCACTCAGCACAATGTTGTGGCATTAATCTCACAGTGACAATACTGAGTTGGATATGATTATTTCTATTGTACAATTGGTTTAAAAAGTTTGTAACATTTCCAAAATCATACAACTGGTTAAGCAGAAGTAACAAACACAATATCTCTCTGACTTCTGAACATACATTTAACACAAGGTAAGTAACTTTTGTACTATCGTGAAAACAAAAACTTATGAAATGATGAAGAACACTACATGCTCTTTAAAAAAAAATTCAGAGTATGAAGTATCCAGAGAAATTCTCCATTTTCCCAGATTTCCTCATAGCACTTGAAAAGGAGTAACAGACCAGATGTTTCTAATGTAACCTCGTAGGCACCTTCCTTATTGACCTCAACTATTTAGATCAGTACACTTGAAGAATAAACTCCTATAGTCAGCTCCTTTCACTTCCAGGTATAGCCACTATTCAAATTTTTTTAAAAATATTTCTAAGGTTGCTTCATACTTTCAAGTACTGGTGGTTAGGAAACTAACTCTGCATACAGCAGCAGAAGAGGGCAATTTTTCCCCTAATTTATAAGTCAGGAGAGGGCTCTGGAGTCTTTTGTTCAATCCTTACATGTTCCTTTTTATTAAAATCAGGACCCATCACTGACCTTTGAGAATTTAAGTGAATCATAACTGCGTCAGAGAGGTATAAGGTGTAAGGACTACAAAGCACAACACCATTAAACATCCAATACAGAACTTAGGTCGAAAGGCCGTTAATTTGAACCTGAACATGATTTAACCTGGCACCAGCTTCCGAAAGTGGAAGCGCGCAGTTACGTGTGTCAGAGCAGGAATGTGCACTAGGGTCATGGCTTCAGCAAAGTCTCTTTGAGGAGAAGTTCCACCCCGGATATGCACATACGAACAGTGTCAGGTGATCTGCATTTACGAACTGATGAAGACTGAAGGCCTCACACATTGCTACATGCAGTGCACATATGTCAGGAAGCTCATGATGGAAAATGTGACTCACAGGGTTATTATGTAGATAGATTACCTCTGGAAAGATACAACAAACCAGTTATTATATCTATTTCTGAGCTGAGACACAGGCAATGGGGAGGGATAAGAATGTGATGTTTTATACATAGACACTTTGTTGTACTACATTTTTTTCAACTACCTATGTACCCCATTAGTAAATGCAAAATAGCAAAAAGGATCTAGAAAATGCTCTAAACAATTTTAATGTATTTTTGGAAACCAGTCATAAAGTAGAACATATGGCAGAGCCATATAGGGTCCTCAATAAAGTAACTATCTGGCTATATGCAGATCCCTGATCTAGAAAAATGTATGTAAGTCTCAAGATCTATGTTTTAAAAATAGTATATTTACCTGAGTAAACATTTCTTTGAAAGGATTCTTCACTGAAAAAAAATCTAAGTCAATATCTAACACAAATGCATCCCCTTTCTTCAAAATCTCCAGAATCTCCCCAGCCTGCCCCTCCGGAGACCATGAACATGACTGTTCCGGGCAGGACGGTCCCTTTCGTTGTGCCACTGCGTGCTCACGCAGTCCATCTGTGTCAGAGTCAGAGTCAGCAGAGGCAGGGTTCTCTGCACCTTCCAGCGCTAGCTTTGGCTTCTTAGCAGAAGACACTGCACCGTTTTCTTCTTGACGGCTACAGAGTTTATCAGGGTTCACCGTCATCACATCCAGTTGTACGGGCTTCTGGTTCTCTAGTTGTTCTTCAGTTACATAAAGGCCGTCACTTAGGAAGTAGTGGTCTGTACTCGTAACCCTGGATCAGAGGAAAACAATTTTAAAGATGGGATAAGTTCACTGACAATTGATACAGCTTTTCCATAGCACTGCAAAAACACAAGAAAGGCGAATCTGACACAAGTTGAGAGCTGTCTACTGCTTGTACTTTCTGTTCTATTGCAGCCAGAGCACTGCCTCAATTTTCAGCTGGCTACGCCAGGCCATTTCACCATCTACCTTGCAGCCACGTGTGCAGTCTGCCTGTGCAAGTGGTCACTGGACTAGGTGCTGGCCAAAAGCTGTAAACAGAAAAGAAGACTACAGAGTCTTGCCTTTTCCTCTACGGAAGGGCACAGAAGTGGCAAGTGCACCTTGGACTAGAGGAAGGGCAATACTCCAAAGATGGGGGAGCAAAGAAGGAACCAGGGTTCGCAAACCGCTGAGCTGAGACATGGGCCCTGGCCATGTGTGGTGACTTCTAATATGAGAAAAAAGTAAATGGTCCTGCTTAAGCCAGTAATTCAGCTCTTGCATAGCAGCTGAAACTTGACCCAAAAAATCGCAAGTTAACTGCATTTAAAAAAAAAAAAAATCACAAAGTGAGGTAATTTTCCCTATTCATCACTAGTTAAACTGAACAGTCAATAGTTATGCTAGATGGGAGTAATAAATTTATTGAAATATATTAACTCATAAAGTTTTCAAAGTTAGAGCCAGAATTCCAGAGGATAAAGATCATGTTATTCAAAAACCAACTTGACCAGAAATAATAAATAGTGTGTGAAGGTGGTCAAGAGACTTGAAATCCTATTCCTTATAGTTTGACAATTTTTTGGGAAGAATTGAATAAAGGCTTAATTTGATTCTATTTGTTTGTATAGACACTTAACAAGTTATTAAGGGATCCCAAAATAAAAAAAAGCAGCATTCATCACCACTCATAGTCATAAAAATAAGGAAAATACCTGATTGTTGTAGTAGAAGTGTCTTTGCCTACCAAAAAATGATGCTTGCCCTCTCTGATTTGCTGAGCCCAGGGAGGATGAAGCCACAACACATGAGAAAAATGGCCAGCGTACACTGCAGGCATAATCCAATTTTCAATACTCAATTCTCTGAAAAAGAAATATAAAGTATTAAGACTATCAGAGTGTGTCTGTGTGTTTTTTTTTTTTAAAACCAAATGTATAGCTTTATCCATAATATTTTAAATTGGCAGATCTCAAAGTATGGCTCAAGGACCAATTGAGGGGTTGCTGAGACCTTTTCAGGGTAACCACTAGTTCAAAACTATTTTCCTCACGTTATTTCCCTTTTTAATTTTCTACTGCACTACATTTGCACTAATAGGACAAAGCAATGATGGGGTGATATTGTTCATCAAGGCAGTGTCACTGAGCTCCATTAGCAATCATTGTATTCTTCATTGCTAGCCACTGTAGAAAAGAAAAAAAAGAATATTCACAATGATCTGGAAAAACTGTAAATTTTTTTTTTTTAGATGGCACATCTTTATTATTTTAAAAATTTATTTATGCATACAGAACTGGGGTACAAGCCAGAGGTGCAGGGGCGGTGAGAGGATTCACCAGAGACAGAACAGGCAGATGGACGAAATACACAGCTGAAGGGAGCAACAGGTAGGTCAGCAGAAGACTGCTGTGCCATATGGGTCACCTCCGGGGCGGGGATTGAAATCGTACTAAAGTGGCTGCGGCCAGTTTGCAGTGCTGAGACCTTACCACTGCTCCACCAGGGAGGGTCCTCTCCTATTTTTATAAACAAACACCAAACAACATCAGACAGCACTGAACACAAAAGCAGATATGAGAACCTAGCTATCTTTAATGTAAGCAAACGTTAGAGATCTGCTAACATTTAAACAGTGTTACTCTCCACTAAAATTGTTTTGGAAAATATATTTTTTATTATGCTAACATATATAGGACTATTGTTATCTGAGATGAATTACTGTTAAAAATTTCTCAATTTTGGGCCTTTCTGGTGGTGTAGGCGTGAAAGTCTCGGCGCTATCAAGCTATCAGCAGCTACTGCTGCATCAGTTCCATCCCCAGCCAGGGAGCTGACCCACGTGGCACAGCAGACCTCTCCTGCCTCCCCAGCTGCTGCCCTCAGCAGTGTAGCTGCCTGTTCTGCTTCCTACTCTGTCTCTGGTGAATCCTCACGCCCCACTCTCTGCACCTTTGTCCTACACCTCAGCTCTTGCACATAAATAAATCTTTCTTTTTTTAAAAGAAGAAAGTAAGAACAATAGTAGGGTCACCATAATTCTTTAGAAAGTAGTGCTTCATATTGGAGTTTTGGAGAAAGCCTACTAAAAGAAAGGTAGTAAGCTAAAATTAATTCACATATTACCTGTCTTTTAATTTACATTATAAGAGGAAAGTTACAGCTATGTAAGTTTTTATATTGTATGAGTCCAGTGACTTTATACAGAGACTGACAGAATTTTAGGGAATTTTGTTATTGAAGAGAAGCTAACCTAGAACATCATTTGAGTTATTTTTGGTCTGATCTATTCCTGAAGAACAGAACATAAATTATCTATTGCACTTCCCTCTCTATGATTTTATATAGCTGAAAATCAACAAGATCCACTATCTGAGAATAAACAAATTGAGAGGTTGGAAGAAGTCATTATTGGTAGGAAGGACATATAAATTAAAGCCGAACTGTCAACATACCATTGAGCTGTGCTCAGACAAGACACACTTTCTTGTACCTCAGCATCCAGATTTCTAAGGGGAGGATGAATAAAGTTTTCTTGGAACTCAGCCTCAGACATTTGTTTACATAGCATCTATGATTGCTTTCACACTGCTAGGCAGAGACTGATTACAACAGGGACCCTGAGACTAGCAAAGCCAAACTATTGACTGGCTTTTTAAGACAAAACTATCAACATTTGAACTAAACACAAACAGTCAAACAAAACTCAAGAGCTTAGCAAAGTCTACTTCTCTTAACTGCTTATATATTGCAAATATTTTTTGAAGCATGTGAAAGATCATTAATGAAATAATATATTACCCAAAAAGTGTTTCCTTATCAAACACAGTGTCAGCTGGCATGTTCACAGGAATAAGGAGGTCTGGGTGTGAATCAAAATGCATGAAAATTATATTATTGGCAGGAAGATGCCTTGAGCCAATGGCCCTGTATATAAAAGGCAGAACCTGTGAAAGATACAAACAATCAGAAATTGGCAATGAAATCATGAGCAAGTACTTATAATTGCAGACTGAAAACAATGCTTAGCAAATAATTGGAAGCACATCAAGTTAAAAAGAAGGAAAATAGGGCTCTTCTGGGTGGCGCAATGGGTTAAAACATCACATTATGAAGCTCTCCGAAGCCACTGCAGCACAAGTTCCATCCCCAGCCATGTAGCTGACCCACATGGTGTGGCAGACCTCTCCTGACACGCCTGCTGCTCCCCTCAGCAGTGTACTTTGTCAGTCTGCTTGTTCTGTTCCCCACTCTGTCTCTGGTGAGTCTTCTCACCCACCATTCCTCTGGCCTATAAGCATAAATAAATTTTTTTTTTTTAAAAGAAGGAAAATACTTAACGTGCTTTTGTCCATGGCTGCAATGGTGATTTCTAACTTTTTTTTTCCTTCAGCACTTCCAACCTGCACTCTTAAACGCTTTAATCGGCATGTCTACCTGCAATACTGCCTTCACCTCAATGGAAGGAAACAGACAGGGACTGAGGCTAAAAACCAAGCTGCTAGTAAATGCATATTAAGGCGTTATGTTGGTCACCTACCTTCAAGAAGGGTTTGTTTTTTTGTGTGTTATAATCTCTATAGTTCCAGGTTTAAAACTGAACTGGCTTGCTCTTTTGCAGTCCCATAACGACTGCGTCTAGATCCTGAGAAACCCAGCTTTCTTTCCTAACCTTCTTCATCTATCAATTCTGAAACCTGCTCAGCTCTCCATATATCCGGAGAACTCAAGGCTATTAATCCAGCTTGAAAAAAAAAAAAAAAACACTTTAGATCCACGTGCCTCCATGTGCCTCCCTTCCAGAAGTACAGATTAAGGTGCCACTTTATTCTACAGTAAAAACTGCCGCAACAATAGAAAACATCCTTAATGCTTACAAACGCAAGCAATAGCAATCCCAAGGGCCCTAGGAGTGCTTTGAAAGTCCCCGTAACGCAGATGACAGCCCAGTCTTAGCATGAAGTCTCCTACCTACACTCTGCTGGAGACGGCGGGCTCCAGCGTTAACGTGGAGGAGCCTGAGGATACCGGCCTCTGAAGGCGGACAGCACGGTTCGAATCCCGACACCACCAGTTGGTTATGGGGCAACTCGGGAAGGTTAGAATAGCTGCTCAGAGCATAGTAAGCCTCCTACAATCGTTCGCGCCCATTCTTCCAAGGTAGTCGCCTTGGGGTCTTTCCCTAAGTCAAGGGAATTCGCGTGGGTAACCCATTCTGCGATTTCTCTCGTCGCTGAGTCGCTGCTCCGCCGCCTCCGGGGCCCGCGCGCCGACGCTAGCTCACCTCCTGATGGTCCTCCACCACCCACACCGGGAGCTCGGGGTAGCGTCGCAGGCCGGCGCGCTCTCGAGCAGAGTCGCTCATGTTTGTGTTCGCGGCAGCGTCCCGGCGGTCGCCCTGGCCAGGACCGGGGAAAGCCAGAGGTGCTGCGCCGCTGCCCTTCCCGAGTGGAAACACGCGCTCACCCGGTTGAGGTTCCGCATTGGAGTGTGAGGAGGGCAGGGGGCGGGCGCCTCAGAAGCTCACAGTAGCTATTGGCTGGAATGGACATCGCTCTTTTTGACGCACCAATCACCACGTAGAGGCACAGCCGCGCGCCCGAGAGCTTTTCCCCGGGTGGTCCCGCTTTCTCCGGTTTTTTAATTCCCTCGGTTTCCTGTTCCGGAGGCGCGGGCGGCGCTCAGGTCTTGGTGGCTGCAGTTTAAGACTGGCTTTGCTCCGATGGCGACCTCGCGGCCCGGGAACCTTTCATAGGTAAAAGGGGCGTCTTGCGTATCTTGGAAGAGGGAGAATTTCCGAGTGCCGGGTTGTAAACCGGGTTGGAACCCGGGAGTGGGGTGAGAGGCGCCTGGGAGTGGGGGGCGGGCAACCCCTCCTTGGATCTGCAACTAAGGGCAAAATAGATGACTCTAGGCCCCGATCGTGCAAATATATATAAATAAGAAATGAGACCTCTCATTCATTTGTGGAGCGCTTGCGGTGTTCCAGGCCTGGGGCCACGCGGGTTCCCGAGGGGAGCGAGTCCATGAGCCCAGAGCCTGCCTCGTGGGGTCCACTATCTGGCGGGAGATGCAAACGGGGAAACACACCCAGTTGTGCACCGGCCGGAAGACTGTGATCGTGGGGTCCACGGAGGGAAGGAGAGTTACCTAATAAAAGTATAGTTACATTTTGCAACTCTTCCTATACAAACTGTTTACTATTCCATACAGCTCCCTTAGTTTCTTTCCTAACAGCAATCTAGGAATAGGGGGCCACAGAATATTTTTTCTGTTGTAGTGATTTTGACTTTTGAATTAAAGCTTGAATCCACAGCACAGCCTGATTATACCTTTAATAGGCCTGTTTCACAATATTTCCAGATATTCTATTTATAGAATGTCTATGAGCCTCTACTAGTGAATGTTCAGCTGTGAATGTTCAGCTGTGATACACTGTACGGGGTTATTAACACATTCCCTAGTGTTCCACTAGTGAATACTCTTCATGTATTTATCTTATTCCATTATTTCCTAAGACATGTTTTATATGTGTTCCTTGAATCCTGCAGGCTTTGCATCTTATTTTGAGCCCACAGGTTATGGGACAGTACCTTTTGTTTTCTCATTCAATGTTGCATGACTTAGTGAAAACATCTGCGTTTTATCTGGTTTTGATAATGCATATGCATTGTGAATAGATGGGGAAGGGAAATGAACAGCAGAAGCATGGAAACATATGCCATTGGTGACACAGTAAATAATGTATTGTGTGCAGGATGCGGTGCCAGGGGCTGTGAAGGTTACAGACATGACTGATCGACCCATGTCATCAAAGCACTGATAATCTAGTGGAAGAATTAGACATGTGCCCACATGACTATAACATGACGTGGTCACTGGTAAGTGCTATAAAATAAAGATTAAGAGTAATGGATGTTAGAGGGAATGGGATTATTTTTTACTTTTTACATTTTAACAGGGTGGGTTTACTAGAAAAAACAAAGGAGAAGACATTTGCACAGAGGCAAGGGGGCAGGAAGAACTGTTGGGGTTCCTTCTTAAAAGAACGGGGGAAGACTTAACAAAGGAGGTGGCATTTGACTTTGGGGGGAGGGTAGAAATTCAGTGGCCAGATGCACAGGGTAGAGAATTTTAGAGGATTAGAACAAAGAATATGCTAAGTGATATTTTAGGCAACTGGGAGAAATCTGAGATGATTGGTGAATGGGGAAAGGTGATAGAAGATAGGCCTGGAAGATTCTGAGTCCAGATTGGAGAGGGCCTTCAGTGCCACGCATGGAGTGTGAATTCGTTCTTTTAACAGTGAGCAGCCCATAGTGGCAGGATCAGCTGCTGAGGCCCTACGTTTTTCATGAGGGCGTTGGATTGAGTAAAAGCCATTAATCAGATATTATTTGGTGCCTGCTATTTACTAACCACAGTGATAGGTACAGGTAAATCTGAATTTCTCTTCATGAGCCCTTTGAAAATCTTCTTTAAAATCTTTAAGCTTATTTGTAAAACTTTTAGTTAGACTTTAAAAAGATACTTTTATGTTGAAGCCTTTGTACTTAATATATATTTGAATTTTTTTTTTAAATTTTTTTTTAGATTTATTTATTTGTGCATACAGAACTGGGGTACAGGCCAGAAGCTCAGGGGCGGCGAGAAGCTTCACCAGAGACAGAGTGGGGAACAGAACAGGCAGATCGATGAAGTACACTGCTGAGGGGAGCAGCAGGCGGGCCATGCCATGTGGTCACCTCCGGGGCAGGCGGGAATGGAACTCATGCGGAAGTGGCTTTAGATTCTCAGTGCTGTGCTTTAACCCGCTGTGCCACCAGGGAGGGCCTATATTTGAATTTTTAAAAGATCATTTTGTTCAAGAATGTGGAATGTAATTCATGTCCACAATATTTTTCTATAGAAACAGTGAGAAATGTAAATTGAGACCAGTGACTTGAGTTTGAGGGGTAATTGTGTGTGAGTGTGAATACTGGTTTCACTGAAGGAAACTGGGGTATAGGGAAGGAGAGGAGAAGCAAATTAGAGGTGGAATATATCTGAGTTTTTAAAATTTACTTTTTATTTATGCATACAACAACTGGGGTAGAGGGGGGTAAGATGATTCACTAGAGACAGAGTGGGGAGCAGAACAGGTGGGTCTGCTGAGATACTCTGTTGAGGGAAGCAGCAGGCGGGTCAGGAGAGGTCTGCCACTCCATATGGGTGAGCTTCCTGGCTGGGGAGGAAGTCATTCTGCAGTGGCTGGAAATAGCTTGATAGTGCTGCAATTTTAGCACCTGCACACCAAGGAGACTCTAGCTTCCAGTTTTCTTTAGCCACTTACTACTTACTGTTTGGTATCAGCCAGACAGGTAACTAAAGTTTAGTTATAAACTTGAATACAGCTCTTGTTAGAATTCCAAAGTGCCATGGAGAATGCAAGGTCAATGGCAAGGAGATTACAGAAATATTTTCTAGCACTGGCAGTTTGGAAAATCAGTTTACATCTGTTTTGTTCTTTCCTCTAGAACTTATATTCTCTGCGGAAGATGTGACCTACCCAGGCAGTACATCATGATGCAAAGCAATACCTGGTGAGTGGTGCGATAGTGATGGTGGTAGTTTGGGAGAACAGAGAGGGGCTGGGCCATGGAAGGTGGCAGGGAAAGGAGAGGGGCTGCGTGCTCTTGTGTGCCATGGGTATGACTAGCAACCCAGACTGGGACTGTTAATGAACTTTCCCTATCCTGAGGGATCTTGTGGTCCAGCAGTGCAGGCAGAAATTAGAGGTAGAATGGATAAATCATAGGTGATTATAACTATGGTAGGACATGCCAGGAAGAATCATAGAGTGTTGGCATCACAGGGGACATTGTCAGATAATACCCAAGTTCTGGAAGACCCATGAGTGGCATCGTCGTATCAAAGTTGGAAACGCTGAAGAAGGAGCAGGAGGTCTCTTGGAGGGAAGATCATGAAATCCTCACAGGGCGTGTTGTCTGCTCAGTGGGAGCAAGGTTAACACAGGAAGAAGCTTATGCAGATGTAGAAAATGTGAGGGGCTGTTGATGGGATGGCCTTGTGACGTCAGGAGTAGGGGGACCTTGAATAAGGGTCTAATAGCAAATGCTTGAACCATGGCATGTTGGATTTGTCGTTTTAGAGGTGGAGCAGCTTAGGGGGTGACGGAGTCCAGGGACTGACTGGCAGTGGGTGGGTGGCCAAGATGGGAACAGGAGCTTTTGGGCCATGAGGACTTTTGGATATTACAGTGAACCCTGTAGCAGGTGGGTAGAGTATTCCAGCAACCCTAGTGGTCTGTCAGTTGCTCATGAAGTGGTTGGGCATTTGTGAAACTTGTATGCATAGTGATTTTTTCCCTGCAATGTTCTCCCTTTCTTTCTTCCAATAAAGTCATAGAATGACGTTTCACCCAGGACGAGGTTGTCCCCGAGGGCGAGGAGGACATGGAGCCAGACCCACAACACCAGCTTTTAGGCCGCAAAATCTGAGACTGCTTCACCCTCAGCAGCCACCTGTGCAATATCAATATGAACCTCCAAGTGCTCCTTCCACCACCTTCTCGAACTCTCCAGCCCCCAATTTTATGCCTCCGCGGCCAGACTTTGTACCCTTCCCTCCACCGATGCCTCCCTCAGCCCAAGGCCCTCTTCCCCCCTGCCCAATCAGGCCTCCTTTCCCCAACCACCAGATGAGGCCCCCCTTCCCAGTGCCACCCTGTTTCCCGCCCATGCCACCACCCATGCCCTGTCCTAATAATCCCCCTGTCCCTGGAGCACCCCCAGGACAAGGCTCTTTCCCCTTCATGGTGCCCCCTCCTTCCATGCCCCACCCCCCACCGCCTCCCGTCATGCCGCAGCAGGTTAATTATCAGTACCCTCCCGGATACTCACACCACAATTTCCCGCCTCCTAATTTTAATAGTTTCCAGAACAACGCCAGCTCCTTCCCACCCAGTGCCAACAACAGCAGTAGTCCTCACTTTAGGCATCTCCCTCCATACCCGCTCCCCAAGGCTCCCAGTGAGAGAAGATCCCCTGAAAGGCTCAAGCATTACGATGACCACAGGCACCGGGATCACAGTCACGGGCGAGGCGAGAGGCATCGGTCCCTGGACCGGAGGGAACGAGGCCGCAGCCCTGACCGGAGGAGACCAGACAGCCGCTACCGGTCGGATTACGAGCGGGCGAGGACGCCCTCGCGGCACCGCAGCTACGAGCGCAGCAGGTAAAGCGGGAGTCGGAACTGCCGGGCCACGCAGGAGCCCCTCATTTGTCAGTGAGCCCAGCGGCAGGCCCCGCAGTGCCCTGCAGAGTTACAGAAGGGAAGGAAGGGCAGGGCAGCGTTTCGAGGAAGACTCGCCTCCAAGTCAGCTTTCAGAAGTCTTCCGAACTGCGCCGTGTACGTCTGCCGCAGTGAAC